CGAAACTCAAAAATTCGGCCCGAAAAAAAAAACGACAGTGGTACCCCTTACGTTTTTTTTTTTCGGGCGAAAAATTAAGTTTCTCCAATCTTCCCAAAACTCTGGATTCTGATAGAGGGCCATGAGACTTAGACCTGAGTGCAAAAATGGAGGCTCTAGCCCCTTCCAGAGCTGAGATATCGAAACTCAAAAATTCGGCCCGAAAAAAAAAACGACAGTGGTACCCCTTACGTTTTTTTTTTTTTGGGCGAAAAATTAAGTTTCTCCAATCTTCTCAAAACTCTGGATTCTGATAGAGGGCCATGAGACTTAGACCTGAGTGCAAAAATGGAGGCTCTAGCCCCTTCCAGAGCTGAGATATCGAAACTCAAAAATTCGGCCCGAAAAAAAAAACGACAGTGGTACCCCTTACGTTTTTTTTTTTTCGGGCGAAAAATTAAGTTTCTCCAATCTTCCCAAAACTCTGGATTCTGATAGAGGGCCATGAGACTTAGACCTGAGTGCAAAAATGGAGGCTCTAGCCCCTTCCAGAGCTGAGATATCGAAACTCAAAAATTCGGCCCGAAAAAAAAACGACAGTGGTACCCCTTACGTTTTTTTTTTTGGGCGAAAAATTAAGTTTCTCCAATCTTCCCAAAACTCTGGATTCTGATAGAGGGCCATGAGACTTAGACCTGAGTGCAAAAATGGAGGCTCTAGCCCCTTCCAGAGCTGAGATATCGAAACTCAAAAATTCGGCCCGAAAAAAAAAACGACAGTGGTACCCCTTACGTTTTTTTTTTTTCGGGCGAAAAATTAAGTTTCTCCAATCTTCCCAAAACTCTGGATTCTGATAGAGGGCCATGAGACTTAGACCTGAGTGCAAAAATGGAGGCTCTAGCCCCTTCCAGAGCTGAGATATCGAAACTCAAAAATTCGGCCCGAAAAAAAAAACGACAGTGGTACCCCTTACGTTTTTTTTTTTCGGGCGAAAAATTAAGTTTCTCCAATCTTCCCAAAACTCTGGATTCTGATAGAGGGCCATGAGACTTAGACCTGAGTGCAAAAATGGAGGCTCTAGACCCTTCCAGAGCTGAGATATTGAGATCCAACGTAGCATTTATGTATTATAAATATCTCAATATCTCAGCTCTGGAAGGGTCTAGAGCCTCCATTTTTGCACTCAGGTCTAAGTCTCATGGCCCTCTATCAGAATCCATAGTTTCAAGAAGATTGGAGATACTCAAAATTTTGACCCCCCCCCCCCCCAAAAAAAAAAAAAAAAAACGACAGTGTTCAAATATATACTATATATTTGAATAAAGAAATGTAATCTTCTGTTGTTCAGATCAGCCTTATAATACTGAGACGAACGGAAGGTTTCAGTCTCTTTTGGGCTTGTGGAGTGTGTGATTAAAATGGCCTTGTACTGTCACAGCATGCTAACAGTGAGTGATGTTACACACGACAAGGTTCAGCGAGCTAACTACATCTGCTGCGTTGTGCCTTCCAGTGTGAGCATCGAAGTAAGAACAGTGAGTGATGTTAGACAGCTCAACAGACTAATGCATGTTTGTGTGTGTGTTTTAGAGTTGCTCAGTCTCTTCGTCTCCTGGTCTCAGGTGCCTCGGCACATCTCACCTGACTGCATCATCTAGGCCTCAGGATGGCGAAACACAAACTGCACATACAATATAATTTACTTCAAACTACAGATTTGACTTGACATACAGCAAAAGACACTGCATATATTTGGGTCTCATTAGTTTATCCAGGATGGACCTAAAAACTCTTCTCTCAAAATCTGTAACCTATTAAACATCGTTAACACAGCTAAATCAACATGATTATTATTTTAATCTTCACACTGTGTAGCCAGAGGACTATCACAGAAGTATTCAGGAAATTAAAGACACACTACAGTATGTCTGTTTAAAGCTGATTTGTATTGCTTTATAAATGTCCAAAAATGATGTGCATTTACTTGTAGTTTTGTGTTTGTGTAAAAAATCTATTCGTTACATCTCATAATTCAGTTGAATTCATTTTGTATTGTGTAATTTAGCCAACATTTAATTTTTTTATAGCCTGTAAGTTTTGGTTCACTAATTGTATTGCATTGAATGTTATTTTATTGTCTGATGTTCTGTTTTAAGAAATAATTATGACATAAATCAAATGAATTAGTACAAAATGACATGCATGTAATTAAAATATATATATATATATATATTTCCTTATTGCTTAATAACAAATAGCTAAAACGTGCTTTGAACCAATCGGATTGCTGGGGTCCTTAGCTGGGACTCAACACTTCAGTGGGACCCAGACTTCACCACACCGACAACTTCCGTGTAGAACAGGGCTTCAGTTCGGCTACTGCAGCCAGACTTAGAAAACCGTACGTTCGAAGCATAGACTGGACAAAGCGTCTGTGACCTCACCCATAGACTTTCTGAATAACGGTTTTGAGGCCGTTTATGGAGGGTATGGGCAGCGCCATCTTTTGAAAAACTTGGGAAATCCTAACCACCTTCTGGCCAATCCATATATGGGTAAAAGGGCGGGTAAAAGGGCCACTGCCCACAAACATCGATGCTATAGACCATTTCACAAGATGTAAACAACAGTGGTCCAGAAGCACTTCCTGTTTCAGTTTTTTAACACTACATAAAAGCTGGGATAAAATACAACCAACAGAACATTTAAAACTGAATCAAAAAGTTAAACAAACATCTTTAAGATGTTTTCTTTACACGTGAAATAAAGAAAACAGTTACAAACTGAAACAGGAAGTGCTTCTGGACCAGTGTTGTTTACATCTTGTGAAATGGTCTATAATAGTAGTGGAATGTCACTTACCAGAAAAAAATGGAGAAGCACTCTTACAGTGTCAGTTAGTGTAATTTATAGCACAGCAACCCATTTTATGCACTATATTTCAATACAAATGTAATTGTAATTTAGCAGAAAAAAAATCAAATGGCTGAGACGTCATCGTCACAGCCCGTTATCAGCTATCAATCAAAATTAACCACGCCCTTATTTGTCAAACATTTCATATCTAAATACACTGTAAAAAATATTTTCAAGATTTGTTATCACAACATATTTTCTTTTGTCAAATCAACTTTATAATAATTTATTTAGTTGAGATAACTTATTATTTTGAGTTTATGATGATTGTATTAACTCACTTTTTCCAGTTCAATCAACTTAAAATTAAGGCAACCCAGGTTTTAAGTTAAACCAACAATATTTTTTTACAGTGTATAGTAATCACAACATTTTTTCTTTTGTCAAATCAACTTAAATAATTTATTTAGTTCAGATAACATATCATTTTGAGTTTCTGATGATTAAATGAATCTCCTTCATTATATTAACTCACTTTTTCCAGTACAATCAACTTAAAATTTTAAGGCAACCCAGGTTACTTACTTTTTTAAGTTAAACCAACAATATTTTTTTACAGTGTACACTCTAAACTAACTAGTTAGAAAAAATGGGACATTTTAACATGAGGTCTATGGATAGTTGTTCCCTTTTGGGACCTGCCCCCAACGGATTTTCGATGTATTGCAGTTTTTCACAATTCCCGGGTAAGCTTAATTTTTCAGATTAGAATGTTGCCGCTTGATTCTAGCTGTTAATTAGCTTTAATGACACAGACAGCAGGAAGTTTATTAGGCTGCTGTCACTTTAAGACCTGAGACACAGATCTGACACGCATCCCATTTTCTCCCAGCCCTTTACGTTAATTTAAGACTTTTTAACCGATGTTAAACAGATGTCACAGCCGCTTCACATCGAGTTTTTGCGAACAGTGAAAAGCACTTGAATGATTGATTGGCTGATCAGGACAGGTTTACATGCAGAACATCCTCGCTCTCTCTCGCTTCTCCAAGCTGGACATTTTATACTGTAACTTGGTAGCATTCATCGCCATAAAAAGTTTATGATACGGTTACATTAACATTATTTAATGCATTAATTAACATTAACTAACAAACAGTGATAGGCCTACATTTGTTACAATATTTGTTCATCTTTGTTAAGTTTATAATGCCTGGTTCAGATTACACGATTTTTTTTTTTGGTTTGTTACGATAGTCACTGTGTCAGATTACGCGATTTTTACCCCTAAAATCTTGTCGTGTCGTAGACAAGAAACATGTCATACTACACTGATTCCTGACCAGTCGTCGCTAAAAAAATGAAACATGCTAGTCTTTTTGTCGTGATTGTCGCCCACTATGACACACTATACGAGATGATACGATCGAATCTCGCTTCCCGACGCCCGATGTCGTTTACGAATCACCACGACACCCTACGTCAAACGGATCGTGCCAAAATCGGGCTAAAATCGTGTAATCTGAACCAGTCATTTTAGTGTAGTTAATTAAAAATACTGTTCCTTTTTAGGCTAGTTTATGTTAGCTCAGGTCTATTGCTTTCTATTTTAATAATGTAGGCCTATTAGTAAATGTTACAAATACATTTAAAGCTAAAATTATTTTTGTTGATATAATTGAAAATATTATGCAAAGAAAAAACATGTTATTTTTAACAGCCCATAACTTCATTCACTGCTACATAATAAGTGAACAATGTTACATCTTTGGCTTTTCTGTATTTCAGCTGATTTAATTCATGCCAGAATACTAAAATTAGATCTAATGTTCCAAACGTATTCACAACTTAGATCTCAAACAGGGGTTTCGGGAGAAACACGTCCCAGACTCACACACACACACACACACACACACACACACACACACACACACACACACACACACACACACACACACACACACACACACACACTCGAACTATGACAACTGAGAACTTGGAAGTCCATTACGTTTCCAAAACTGTGCGCAGTAAAACTGTCCTGTGTGTGTCTGCAGGCTCGGGTTTCTCTCTCTCTCTCTCTCTCTCTCTGTGTGTGTGTGTGTGTGAGCTGATCACATCTCTGAGAGAGAGAGAGAGAGAGAGAGAGAGAGAAAGAGGGGGGTTGAGGAATATACAGCACGCGTGTTGGTTCTTCTTTCCTATCATGGATCCTTTGACTCGTTTGCCAGAGAATAACGCGACCGAGTCTCTGGAGTATCCAGTGTGTTCAGAATGGAAGGAACATCCCGAAGGATCAGTGTTTCACCTCGCGCATATCCTGCTGGTTTTAGGGTTCATGGGAGGCAGTGGCTTTTATGGACTACTCTACATGTTCTGCTTCTTGACTCTGGGGTTTTTGTGCTGCTCGATCTGGTCGTGGTCCGACCCGTGCACGAGCGACTCGTTCTCGTGGACCTTCGCGCTCTTCGCCTTAAGTCTCGCGCAGCTCGTGCACGTGTCCTACCGACTGCGAAGAGTCACTTTCGAGAAGGAGTTCCAGAATCTCTACGATTACATGTTCAAAAAGCTGGGAGTGTCCTTAATTCACTTTGGGAAGATCGTTGAGTGTTGTGATGGCGATATCCACACTATAGATAAAGAGCAATGCTTCGCCATAGAGGGCAAAACCCCGATAGACAAACTCTCAGTTCTGGTCTCAGGCAGGTGAGTATTCACTTTAAAATGAAACATGATTTACTCACTCTCAAGTCATCCTAGGTGTATATGACTTTCTTCTTTCCGACGAATAAAATAGCGTTATAATACCCTGACTGACACTTCCGAGCTTATATCAACCATTGCAAACATCAGATTGAAGCTGATATAATGATAAAAGTGCATCTGTCCATCATAAAAGTGCATCTATTCATCATAAAAGTGCATCTATCCATCATAAAAGTGCATCTATCCATCATAAAAGTGCATCTGTCCATCATAAAAGTGCATCTGTCCATTATAAAAGTGCATCTATCCATCATAAAAGTGCATCTATTCATCATAAAAGTGCATCTGTCCATCATAAAAGTGCATCAATCCATTATAAACGTGAGCTATCCATCATAAAAGTGCATCTGTCCATCATAAAAGTGCATCTATTCATCATAAAAGTGCATCTATCCATCATAAAAGTGCATCTATCCATCATAAAAGTGCATCTGTCCATCATAAAAGTGCATCTGTCCATCATAAAAGTGCATCTATCCATCATAAAAGTGCATCTATTCATCATAAAAGTGCATCTGTCCATCATAAAAGTGCATCTATCCATTATAAACGTGAGCTATCAATCATAAAAGTGCATCTATCCATCATAAAAGTGCATCTATCCATCATAAAAGTGCATCTGTCCATCATAAAAGTGCATCTGTCCATCATAAAAGTGCATCTATCCATCATAAAAGTGCATCTATTCATCATAAAAGTGCATCTGTCCATCATAAAAGTGCATCTATCCATTATAAACGTGAGCTATCCATCATAAAAGTGCATCTGTCCATCATAAAAGTGCATCTGTCCATCATAAAAGTGCATCTATGCATCATAAAAGTGCATCCGTCCATTATAAAAGTGCATCTATCCATCATAAAAGTGCATCTATTCATCATAAAAGTGCATCTGTCCATCATAAAAGTGCATCTGTCCACCATAAAAGTGCATCTATCCATCATAAAAGTGCATATATCCATCATAAAAGTGCATATATCCATCATAAAAGTGCATATATCCATCATAAAAGTGCATCTATTCATCATAAAAGTGCATCTGTCTATCATAAAAGTGCATCTGTCCACCATAAAAGTGCATCTATCATCATAAAAGTGCATATATCCATCATAAAAGTGCATCTGTCCATCATAAAAGTGAATCTATCCATCATAAAAGTGCATCTATTCATCATAAAAGTGCATCTGTCCATCATAAAAGTGCATCTGTCCATCATAAAAGTGCATCTATCCATCATAAAAGTGCATCTATCCATCATATGATTCTCATGACATCAGAAGTGCATCAGTGTATCGTAAATATCAGCAGTGCGTCGCATTACTCACATACTGTAAGTTTCACGACAGACTTAAGTGGTATAGTGGTAATGGTGCCCAGAAGTCACTCATTTTTCAATGAATTTTGAAACGGCAGTGTGAACATAGAGTTAGTCTCATAACACACACATCTGACTCCCCGAACCAGCTGGTGGCGCTGATTGACGAAACTACAGGTTAACTTAAAGACACGATTAATTACATGCACCCATTGTATTCCCACAAATATTGAAATAACCTTGTGTGATGGAATGATCCCTGCACAGACGTGTAGTTATTAGGGCTGGGTAATAAATATTGATTTCTCGATATTAATCGATTCTCATTTTTACGAACCGATATCGATTCTTAAATCTCATGAATCGATTAGTCATCCTGTTTCATTTGAATGAATGGGACATTGTATCGCGGCTGCGCGCATCCAAAAAAAATCGCAATAATCTTTGTCCTTTGTTACTATTGATATGAAACAAAGTCTCAATTTTCAAATTACGTCCATTTTCTTTAGAAATTCGAAAACATAAATAACGTTTTGTCGCTGTGGCGTGAGATCGCTCTGGAGAAGCAGCAGCGCTGATCTCTCTTCCGGGTTAATAATACCAGTCACAGCGCCAAATAAACATGAATGAGCATCTGAAAGTGTGTTAAAGATAGAGTACAACTATCCAAATCCGGATCATGTCACATTGATTCGCTCAATCAGCGTTTCAACCGTGGAAAGACGTCAGTTTGTAATCAATGTCATGTATCGTCATATCTATCTATCTCAGAAAACCCACATAAACTCGTTAGTCAGCTAGAAAAAATAACTCTAGAGAGGAGCATATTGATAAATATATACACCATATTACATATTATAATCTTAATGTTCTTCATTATTTAATGCATATTTGAATAAATCTGGCATATTTTTTTGACAGCCATCATTTAAATGTTTATATTTCATATAATCTTCTTATTATAAAAAGAAATAAAAGTGTAATTTAAGTGTTTGTATAGCTACAAAACAGTTCATTATTACTTTCATACTAGGCTAATGAAGCCTATAGGCTACAACTAGACTCCCATAGTTTTCAGAATTAGTTAAGAGATTTGATTCCCTTGAGAAAATTTGCCATTTATTGTAACTGATATCAAAAATAATCGATATTGAATCGAATCGAAATCGAATCGAATTGCAAGCTTGTGAATCAAAATCGAATCGAATTGTGAAATTTGTGTCAATACCCAGCCCTAGTAGTTATACTGTGAGTGTGAAGATTGCTTATCTCATCTGGTTAGTGCAACCAATCACACAACAACTATCTGGCGTGTCATTTACACCTCGAAACACCAACTTTTGTATAAAAACTGGCGACGTCCTGCCGAGATCCTTGACTAGTTTACTGGGTTTCGATGCTGGAGAACGGCGTTCCAGTGCTTGTGACGTCACGTGCAAAGTATGAACATCGCATTTCTCTCTCCAAAATAGGATCCGGGTGACGGTGAACGGGGAGTTTTTGCACTTCATCCATCCATTTCAGTTCCTGGACTCCCCAGAGTGGGACTCCCTCAGGCCCTCAGAAGAAGGCTTCTTCCAGGTGAATGATCATTAATAGCTCATTATTATGCGTTCCCGCTGTGGGGTGTGTAACGGGGTGTTGTGTTTATGCAGGTGACGTTGCGTGCGGACACGCGCTCCAGGTTCGTGTCGTGGCGAAGGAAGAAGCTCTACCTGCTGTTCGCGCGCCACCGCTACGTCGCCAAGATCTTCGCGCTGCTCGTGCGCAACGACATCGCGGAGAAACTCTTCTCTCTGAACGACAGGGCTTTCGACGCGCGCGGGTTCCGCTACGATCTGCGGTTACCGAGCTTCTGTCACGCGGCAGAGCCGGCTGGAGAACACACGAGCGAGTCCCGTCGAGTGCTGGAAGAGAGTGAAGCCACACCGGCGGAGAGAGACTCGTGAGAAGCGCGCGCCACACGTCTAGTCTTAATCGATTGTCATTATTCATTTCTGCCATGCATTGTTTTGTTTTTTAATCTTGAATGCACTTGGGATGTTTTCCCCCAAAAATCTTGTCCTTGTTGTTTATTGTTTAGATTATGTCTTAAAAATCACGTACTGCACCTTTAAATCTACAAAAGTGATTCAGTCAAGAGCAGTGAGTTGTCTTTTGTACTTTAATTAACGTTAATGGCACAGACAGCAGCAAGTTCATTAGGCTGTTGTCACTCTCAGACCTGACGCACATAAGACAGATCTGACACCATCCGATTATCTATTTTAAGACATTAATCATTTTTTCCAAGGAAAAAACTTTAAACATGTCCCTCTGGTGATCAAAGATGAGTTATATGGGATGCACTTGGGATGTTCCCCCTAAAATGTTGTCCTGTTTTATTTATTTGTATGATCATAATCAAAGTTAGAACATCACTAGAATCAGCTGTTCTGAAGGAGAAGTGTTGCGCAATGTGTGTCTGTGTTTGTGGAAGTGTTTGGAGAGATTAATTTTCATTATTTAGCTGAATATATATATATAAAGCTCTCATATTAATTTCCTCTGTATTATCATTACATCATCTATTGTCCGTCATATGAAACAGAACACTGTTATTGACCTGAGATTGAACTGTTTCACTAGTTTTTTTCTTTTGCTCAACACACGAACTGTGCATTTCAGGCCTGACAAACATTTCGTTGTGTGAGAGTGTGTGTGTGTGTGTCTGTGTTGTGGGGGGGGGGGGGGGGGGGGGGGGTTAGTATGTATGTATGTATGTATGCATGTATGTGTGCAAGTTATATTAGATAAACTAATGTGGTCTACTGTGGAAAAAACAGACGCCCTCTAGCGGTGGTGTCGCGTGCACGCGCAGAGGAGTGGCTGCTTGGTTTGTGCCCATTTAAAGTCAATGCCTGTCATTGCGCTCCTCACACACACACACACACACACACAATCTGTTATCTTCTGCTGGACATTCCTCCAGACCGCGCATATTACAGCTTCAACCTCAACTCCGGTGAGTAGACAATGCTGTTATTAATATCTAATAATGTGTTTTAATAGTGCCATCTTCTTTTAACTGCAGCTGTGTGAGATTCACACGGAGTACAGCGAATACACGTGTGTGTGTGTGTGTGTGTGTGTGTGTGTGTGTGTTTCATTAGAAAGTTTAATGAAGGACACTGACTGACAGCATTGCTCGTTTGGCAGATCTCCAGGATTCGTGCGCGTTCTCGATTTGTGACTTTTCGGTGTTTTCACGTCACGAATAATTGCGGAGCGCAGACTGACATTTATGTGCGTGTGTGTGCTATTCACGTGAGATAAATGTTGGCGAAGTTGAATCAAATTAGATCAAGCAACGAGAAACATTTAACATGAAACGCACACTTTTGTATATTCATTACTTGAATAAACTCCTTGTTTCTGCCAGATCACTGTAAACTGTAATGTGGACTCGTGTCTTTTCAGTAAAGCTGCTTTGAAATGATGTGTGTTGTGAAAAGTGCGATACAAATAAATGAGAATTGAATTGAATTAAAGTAGCAGATGTAACAAGCTCTTCTGTAAGGATCCATTCTGTCGTGTTTTATGCTTTGTTGTAAATGGGTATATGTGTGTGTTACACACGTAAGATAACTATTTAAGAAGTTGAATCAATTTAGATCAAGCCTCGAGAACCATCTGACATCAAATAAAATGTTTCTGTGTTATAGATTGCACCATAAAGCTCACCTGTACTAGGAACCGTTCTGGTGTGTTTGTGCTTCGTGCATGTGTGTGTTGTAACAGTTTCTGCATCTCCTCTTCAGCTCGAGAGAATGTCCGTGTCTCCGTCCTACACTTCACCTCCATTGTTCTCTAGCGTGCCCGCGCTCCCCGGTGACGCGAACGCCACGTCATGCCAGGACTGGGCCCAGTCTCATCATCTGCTGTTCCACCTGGCCCACCTGAGCCTCGGACTGGGTCTGCTGATCCCCACCACCCTTTCACTGCACATGATCCTGCTCAGACTGCTGCTGATCACGGGTACAGCGCGCGCGCCTGTGCACACAATCACGACACCGCAGTCTCACCTGCGCCGCTGCGCGCGCCCGTGAATACGGCCCCACTTTCTGAAGTTAGAAGTAGAACATTGCATTTTATTTACATGAAAATTAAAAATGCCATTCAAATATACTGAAACAATTTTATTATTTAGAAATAAAATATAGTAAAAGGGATAGTTCACCCAAAAATAAACATTAGCCCATGTCATGATCTACTCTCCCTCAAGTCATGAGTGGGACCAAAAAATCTACCGGGAAATTTCTTAGACCACCGGCCCTCGTCGCCGGCACGATTTTAATAGCCGATAGCATTTACAGTTTTACTGATTTAAAAGGAACTTTGTTGTACTAGTATGCTGGAGTAAAGTTCATAAATGGTCGTTCTTTCCCATAGTAATTTCTAAAACTATGTTGGGTGGACTCTGTGCCTCTAGGGGAGTTCGGGTGCATGCTCCCCCGCAAGAACATTTTGGACATTTTAAGGTTAAATGCATCAATCTCGTGCTCTCTGAGAGATCACAATTAAGAGCTTCAACCCATGAACTGCTCATTGAACAAAGAAAAAGCATTAATTTGTACCAGAACGATAAAGAGGGCTCAAACATCTTTTTAGTTATGAGAGTCTCAGTCTGCATTACATTAGAGATGGTCCTCACTGCGGAACATGAAATCCATGGGGAGGAGTCGGATCCAGATCCAACTCCTCCCACCTTACATACACCTAAACCTAACCAACTCCACCCCCTGATCCCTAAACCTACCCATCTCCACCCCTTGGATCGTGATCCGACTCCTCCCCGTGGATCTCATGTTCTGCATTGAGGTGCTACTGTTACATTATCAATGGTGTTTTAGGATGCCAAACATTTATTATAATAATGTAATAATGATTTATAATTATTCCTATGACGTACTGTAAAATCCATTTAGCCTATAAATGTAGGCTACTATGTAAATGAAAATGAGTATTTCAAAAGTATATTTTAACCTACATTACACTATAATATAGGAAAATTTAAATACTTTTGTCCTTATTTCTTCACTTGCAAGAAATAAACCCTTGAGCTTTTATTTAGGAGAAAACACCAGATGATCACGTGAGCAAAGTAATCACGCAGCACAAACTGGATGCTATTCTAATGTCAGTTATTATAATGGCGCAACGCCATATCATGGTTTTAATTTTAGTTCGTTGGCAAAATTTAACGCTAGAGACCTTAATGTTAGGTTTTACATTTTACATCTTTACATATGTGTTTGGAAAAGGGAGAAGAGAGAGTTCGGCAAAAGGCGGATTCGAACTCGCATTCAGCGCATCAAAAAGCTGCTTTCAAGCACTTCACGCCCTACGACCTACGCCACTAAGGATGTTTCAAGACAGGCGTCTTTTTGCTGTAAAGACAGGCACTTAGTGCAAATATATGCTCTGTTATAGAAAATGCAAAAAAAAAAAAAAAAAAAAATGTTTTCTTCCCTTAGCTTGGGCCCCAAGTGCACATGGCGAACTTCCAATAAATACATTTTATCAGACCGGCCCTCGCGGCCTCGAAACACTACCGGCCCACCGAGAAAACTCTCGACTCTCCCGATTGCCACTCCGCTACTGATGACACTCCTGCTAAATATTACACATTTAATTTAAATTAATCGTAAACGGATAATCTTAAAATGGCATTTTTAAAAACGTGATAGTATAAGGTGGGGGAATAAACTTGTAACAGTTCTGTTTTCAGTAATTGAAATAAACTGAAATAAAATAAAGAAAATATTAATATTAGAAATAAAGAAAATAGAAAGTTGAAATAGGTCTACTACAATTACAAAAAATACAATTGTAATAATAAAGCTTTGAATAATTAAAAACAACTTAAAACTAAAAAATTGGCAAAAGCACATAAGATTGAAAATATATAAAAAAGCTAATTCAAAAAGTTAATAAATACCAAACCATATAAATTACACTAATCAATCTATGATTTTGAAGCTTTGCAGTTTGATGGTGTTTGATCGGAGCACAACACATGTGATCATGCTTGCTGATGTTTGATCATGTGACCTCTGACCTCAGGCTGCTCTCTGCTCATCGCCTGGGCCGCGCTGTACAGATGCACACTGGATGTGATGGTGTGGAACGTGGTGTTCCTGCTGGTCAACTTCATGCACTTCTTCTTCCTGCTGTATAAACGCAGACCGGTGAGTTCAGATGGACATCACTATCATTATCATCATCATTATCATCCTATCACATCTTATTTATTCATAAATCAGGGATTATTCGAAAGCTTAAACCCTCAGTATTCATCATGTTAACACTGTTTTGAAATCGGACATTGTGTTGGAAACGGTACTTTTAAAAGCCTTTAGTAGGCTCCTCCCCCTATTGGGCGGAGTCATAATTCATATTAAAATTGACTGCATTATCTCTTTTAAAATCAACTTTTCTAATCTTGAAAAAACATAATATTGTTGGAAAAGGTCTAGGTTCCATCTTTGGTGACTGTTTAGTGATAGAAGGGATATTGTGAAAGAAATCGACTAATAAATCTAATGTGGTTATTGGCTGATGGATATTTTTTGCTAAAGCGGAGGTCCAAATGATTTACTAAAATATAGAGAGTACTGGCACGTTAGTATGTTCACGCCCCGAAAGAGATTGACATGTTTTGCTGTAGTGTGTCAGTGGGAAATATCAGTTTACATTACCAAACTTTACTTTTGCCATTAATTGTAATAAAGTATATGTACATTTATGAAATGCATAACTCAGACAGTTTCTTCTGATAACAGATGACCGTAAACTGTAATGTGGACTCGTGTATATTCTGTAAAGCTGCTTTGAAATGATGTGTGTTGTGAAAAGCGCGATTAAAATAAATGTGAATTGAGTATGTGTGCTGAGGAGTAGTTCACTTTTAAAAATCTTTTGCTGATAATTTACTCGCCCCCATGTCATCCAAGATGTCCATGTCTTTCTTTCTTCAATCGAAAAGAAATTAAGGTTTTTGATGAAAACATTCCAGGATTTTCTCCATATAATGGACTTCAATGGGAACCAAACAGTCCAAATGACAGTTTCAGTGCAAACTGTTCAAAGACCTTTAAACGACTCCAGACGATGAATAAGGGACTAATAAATAAATAACAAAGTTTAAGTTTTATAAGCTCAAATGTTCGCCTTGCTCTGTTCTGTGATGCACGTTCGTGACTCTCCTTTTCAAACTCGTTCATCAAAATGAAAAAATCTTTTTTCGAGTCATTTTGTTCATTCAACGAGCGAAAAGAACAAAATGACTCGAAAAAAGATTCGTTCATTTTGATGAACGAGTTCAAACAGAAGAGTCGAGCAAGTCGAGCATTTGTTCTTATGAAACTTAATTTTTTGTATTCATTAAATGAGCGATCGTTTCGCATGATAAGACCCTTATTCATCGTCTGGAATCGTTTAAAGCTCTTTGAACAGTTTGCACTGAAACTGTCTTTTGGACCTTGAACCGTTTGGTTCCCATTGAAGTCCATTATATGGAGAAAATCCTGGAATGTTTTCATCAAAAACCTTAATTTCTTTTCGACTGAAGAAAGAAAGACGTGGACATCTTGGATGACATGGGGGTGAGTAAAATATCAGCAAAGGTTTTTTTTTAAAGTGAACTACTCCTTTAACTCCAGATTAAGATCGACCGGGAGCTGAAGGGGGTGTACAAGCGCATGTTCGAGCCGCTACACGTACGAGAAGCTCTGTTTCAGAGACTCACCGGCCAGTTCTGCACCATCCAGACCCTGAAGAAGAGCCAGATCTACGCGGCCGAAGACAAGACGTCCGTGGACGAGCGCCTCAGCATTCTCCTCAAGGGGAAGTGCGTGCGTCGCGTCACTCAGAGTGCAGATCTCCTGTAATACTGTGTGTTGTGTGACTTATGACCTCGTTTCTGCACCACACACAGGATGAAGGTTTCGTACCGCGGGCATTTCTTGCATAATATCTACACCAACGCCTTCATCGACTCGCCGGAGTTCAGGTCCACTCAGTTGAACAGGGGAGAGAGGTTTCAGGTAAGAGTGACAACATAATATCCATTGAATATGTGCTTTTTGTTATTACCAGTCAAACCAAAAATGATTCAGACACCAGATACTAGTGTGTGCAGGATAACCTTGATCGTATTTTCTCCAGTCATTGTTAAATAACAAGCCAACAAAACTTACAAACTAACGTTAGGGAAGTGGCCGGAGGGATCGTTCTGCCTCCACCTATGCTCCGCCCACAAAAAAACGTCACCATGTTTACTACCTGACAAGTGTTTTGTACTTATCCGTGCCGGACTGTGCAGGTGACGATCACCGCTGAGGAGAACTGCAAGCTCCTGTGCTGGTCCAGGGAGCGTCTGACGTACTTCCTGGAGTCCGAGTCGTTCCTGAATGAGGTCTTCCGGTACCTCATCGGCAAAGACATCACCAACAAGCTCTACTCGCTCAACGACCCCACCCTGAGCGACAAGGTCAGATCCAGTTACTCTCGACTGGTCAAACGTTGGGAATAATACAGATGCTTTTAAAGGGTTAGTTCACCCAAAAATTCTGTCAGTATTTACTCACCCTCATGTTGTTCCAACCCCGTAAGACCTTCGTTCATCTTCACAACACAAATTAAGATATTTAAGATATTAAGATCGCTCCTGCATACAGTCCATAGGCTTCTTGAGGGACTGGCTCTTGCTGTCCTCGAAAAGTCATTAAAGACATCGTTAAAATAGTCCAAGTGACTACAGGGGCTCAATCTTAAGTTTATCAAATGACGAGAACACTTTTGTGCGCAAAAAAACAACAAAAATAACGACTTTATTTGACACATCGTACAACCAGAGATTCTGCTTTACGGCAATCCTTCAGTCACTTTGGTGCTTTCGCGCTCTCTTTCTTTTCTCTCTCGAGACAGCTGACACGTAAATACACGTGCTAGAACAACTAAAGTTCTTAACATTCTGGTCCCGCTTCAGATGTCAAGATGCCATCAAGTGGTATCTCTGGTCGTAATCAGTCCTTCACTGACCAATCAGCGTTCATTAGCAGAATACTAGCGTGTTATGGGCAACAACATCTCAAACCTGTAAGAAATCGAATGGACATAAGTACTCATTCATTCAACTTTCGACCTATAACCCATGATGAACTTGCAAAACCTACAATCAAATCGGAGATTTCTCAACGGCAATCGGGCGAAAGAGACAAATTTAGCCGTCTAGCCCCATAGACTCCTATTCATTTTGCACTTGGAGGATCGCCCCCAGTGGAACTCTGGTGGAACCACAACCAAAATATTTATCCGGAACTTCATTTAGACCCTGGTTCCTACTGTGTAAACACACCGAGAACCAGCCCAAAGTCCCTAGTTCCTGGGGAAAGTTCCTGCGGTGGAAGCGCGGCTCATGTTGCTGTCTGGGTTCACATCTGTGTGTGCTGGGATTAACTGAAGTGATGCTGATTGTACCGTAGGCTGTGAAGAAGATGGACCGCCAGCCGAGCCTGTGCTCTCAGCTCTCCATGATGCAGATGAGGAACAGTATGGCGAGCACCAGCGACACCGACGACGTGCTCAACCAGATCCTGAGAGGCGGATCCACCGGATCCTCACTGCGTAAGTCTCCCGCGCTACAGAATCACCCCTAAAACTAACCACTAGGGTTGGGAATCGAATACTTGAGGTTCGGAATCGGATACTTAATTACAATTACAATTACAAAATTACAATTTCGATTCCTCTTATCGATTTGCAGCTCTTAAAGTGACAGCACTCATATTACTGCCGTCTCTATAGTAACACTAAGCACACAACAAACGACAAAGAGAAAATTCACTCGCTTTTGACTGAATAACTTTCTGTTATTTACACTTTACAAGTGTTTACTTGTCTTTAATAATGCTTGAAATGTATATTAGTTCTATGGTATTTTTAAACCTCAGGGAAGCGTCCCTTGTGTACGTGTTCTTAAGCCTGTAGATTTTTTTTCATGATATTGATATTCAGCTAAAACTAAATGTGTTGCAGTAAGACTAAATGTCAATGATATCGAAAACTTTTTTTATTACCTTATTGGAATCAAAATCATTAAAATTCAAACGATACCCAACCCTACTAACCCCTGTATGCCTTGACATTAGACCCTTCATGCCCACAAATGCTGATATACACCACAACACACGTCTCTGTCATAAACTTCTCTAACGCTCATTCTTCATCTCCACCGGTTCCAGTGTGAGCTCACAGACACTACACTTGTGGAACGGGCTACTTGCACTCAGCTGCGTCACACACTTCCCTTTTGATATAATACATCTCAGTTATGTATATTTTTAATGTACTTGTAGTCATCGAGTTCAATAAACGCAAACTAAAAGGAGTGTCTGCAAGAAGATTTTAAAAAATCCATAACACTTTACTTGAAGGGGTGTGCACAAGACTGACATGACACCTTCATAATCATGACATGACACCTTCATAACAGACTGATCTCATGCCAATTCGTTTTTCCATTTGTGGCGTGCTTTTCAGCGTCGCTTTTCAGCGCGTTTATGAACGCCGTTGACTTAACGTTATTACTGTATATATAAATATATGACTTACCTCAACCCTGTCCCTAAACCTACCCGTCACTGGAGATAATGGCATTTATGACTGTTCCCTTACCATCCTAGGAAAGAAAAACATAGCTCCCCAGATGAAGATCTACAAGTACATTTTGCTTTGTTTTGGTCGGACATTTGACGGCGTGTACGGACACAGGGAATGACGCGGACGTTAATGGCGTAGACAAACACGCATACACGCGGATAACTCAAAATGTGTCGAGATAACACGCCACTTGACTCGAAATTGGCGTGTATGTTTACGCAAAAGTCATGATGTCACGTTGTTCATAATCATGACATGACACCTTCATAATGCAAATATGACATTGTTTGAGATGTCTTTGTTACAACAACCGTTTATATACGGTACATATACGGAGAACACTGGGGTGTCCAGCTTGCAAGGTGGAATATTTCAACCCCAGGGGTGGCAGAGTGGCTTGCCAAGGGAAAGACACATGCTCTGAGAGGCATACAGTGGAAATACACATGTGGGGGTCACCCACTAGGTCACCCACCAAGCCAATCGTGAAAGCTGCCAGAGGCATAGCTCTGGCGTTAACGTCAACAGCACTGGAGGAACTGTACTGGACAGAGCAGTGGCAAGGCTGGGTCTGCCTCCTCCAGGGGCAGTGCTTGCAGGTTCACCACGTGATCTTGAAAGGGAGTGGTGGGAACCTTGGGCACAGATCCAGGCCAGGATCTCAGGATCATGTGAGGATAGGCTGGCCCGAATTCTCGGCATGCTTCGTCAGTGGAAAATGTGTGCAGGTCCCCTACCCTCTTAATGGAGGCCAATGCAACCAGGAGGGCTGTCTTAACTGACAGGATCTTAAAGTCCACTGATTGCAGAGGCTCAAAGGAGCACTTTGCAGGGCAGTTAGAACCACTGAGAGGTCCCAAGAGGGAACAAAAGGAGGGCGAGGATGATCCAGTCTCCTCGCTCCTCTCAGGAACCTGCTGATTAGGTTGTGCTTTCCCACAGACCCTCAATGCATTTGTGATGTGCAGCGATGGCGGCAACATAGACTTTCAGTGTGGAGGGAGACAGCCTTCGCTTCAACCCATCTTGCAGGAAGGAAAGCACAACACTGATCAGGAATTTTCTGGGGTCTTCTCATTGAGGAGTGTTGACGAAGAGGTTCCAATCCAACGCGTAGGCATGACAAGTGGACAATTCAGGGTTTAGTGAGGTCCTTAGATCGTCCCCGAGAAGGCAATCAAACTTGACCATGCAGAGATAGTAAGAGTCATAACAAGGTTTCCGTAGGTGAACCTGCGGAAGGATCATTATAGGTCTCCAGGCCTAGCCATCCTAGGAATGAAAATCAAATGCCTCGGGTCCGCTCCGGTGGACCTGAAACCCCCTTCGGTGAAAAACACGTGGCAAGAGTTGCTACCCTGATGGGTACCCGTAGGCTCCAGTCTCCCCCTTCACCGGGGGAGAAGGGGACAGTGGGTTTAAAGCTATAGGTCTTTGCTAACGGAGTAGACAAAAAACCTACAGGCATTGGAGGGGTGCTTAGGGTCGCCACACCAGGTGGAGGCGCTGTGGGAACACATATGTGTTGCCACAGAACATTCCATGAGGGGAACCCCAGTGTACCTAACCTGACTGACACAGGTTGCTCCACACAGCAACAGCGAGGGCTCGGCTGAGCGAAAAAACACTTAACTGCATCACTATTTTTGTTGAATAGATTTTTTTTTACCTTAAATGGGTTATGGAGGCAATTTATAACTTTCGGGAAGCGGAGTTTGATTGTGAGATTCAACTCGGGTGCCTCTGACGTGCGACCAATGAGCTAGCCCAACGTCATTACACGTCAGAACCCGACAAGGGGGCGTGGCTTTACTCGAATACAAATACTTTTCCCCCACAACAAATACAGATACAAATACTGGCTGCTTTGCACACCCCTAGTATACACTGTTAACAAATTATTGTAATTTTTACAGTAAAAGACTGTAAACGTGCTGACTTCTGTAACCGTACACTCGTGAGATGTATGAGTATAATGCAGGAGTAGTTGTGCAAGTAGTCCAGTACACTCACACAGGTGTGATGTCAGTGTGTGTGTACCCCTGTGCTGTGTGAACCCTGACGTCTCTCCTGTTCTCCTCTAGCTGTGACCTCAGATCGGGCCTGATGATGGGCTGTAAGATGCTTTCTTTTTATATCTCAGTCTTTCTCTTCCTCAACCCCAACAAAAAATGACCCAAATGTCATTTTGAAACATAACCAGAACGTAGATTAACTCATTTCTCGTGCTCAGAACACGTGAATTCTGATAACCAGACCTGTTATGAAGTTAACCTTTAACACACGGCACACCGCATTTGATGAGTTTTCCCAATAACATCACGCCGTACAGTTTTTTAATGAATTTCAAACCCAAACTTTTGTTTTAAAGATCAACAGTCTGTCATAAGTCTTTAGTCTGCCACTAAAAAAAACGGAGTGTTGTGGTTCCGGTACACCAGCCATGCCAACGAAACGAATGAATGAATATTTGCTTATCAATGTATATCTAAATTCATGCATACATCTTTGTAGAACTTCAAAAAAAGAAACAGAAAAGATGCTGCAGCCAATGAGCCGCCGACAGGGGCCGACTCCACCTCCGCAGACAGTTTTTAATATTTTATCAAATAACTACTCAAGGTTTTGGTTTAGTATAATTTTCGGGACAATTAGGGCCGGATTCGGGACAACAGCTTAGATTTCGTGACTATCACCCTATGTGGCGGCACTCGCGCAGTCTCCACTCGGACCCGCTCCAAGACTTCAATTTCCAAAAGTCAAATTCAAACCCAAAGCATCGTTATCCAAGTTCTGTCGTTACGAATGTTATTTAACGTCTCCTGAAACCATAGTTCCAACGAACATTCACAAAAAGCAACGCAAACTTGCATGGCTGGAACTACAGCTTATGATCAAAATCTTTCTTTATTTAAATTCTAAATAAAAGCAAAGTTTAAGATAATGAAAGGGGCGTGTAAACTAATGCACTCTAAAAGCATGCGTTTCAGACATTATTAATCAATGTCACTATTAAAACACTGCCAGGCTCACACTGGACTTTGGGCATGCAGAATTTCTTCAGACACTCCAACGGTCCAGTGAACCATAAATTTAACATATAATAAATAATAATTTAAATAAAAACACTATCTTCTCCACTCCTGCAATGCAATGCTAATCAATGCTAGGTCAGCGTTCTGCGATCGCCCGCGTTCACATGCATATGAAGTCAACAGGACTAGAAGTGTGATATATAACATGCACAGAGTGTGTTAACATTTTATTGTTTGAGTGATTTTATTCACATTACTGTGATGATATTCTTGAGCTGTGGAAACAGTTAACACCCTTAATGCACCGTATGATACGTTTTGCCTCCATTTGACTTTATAAAACATTACACTTGAATCTTAATATGTAACCAGATACTGTTATTATGATATTATAACGTTGAACATTGACAACTAGTGTTGTTTCTCTCTCTCTCTACAGAGAAAAATCCTCTGCCAAAAACATCCACGACTATGAAGCCGATAGAAGAAGGAATGGAAGATGATGTTTTCGAGTCCGAATCCCACAACACTCGCCCGAGAGAAGACGTGTGACGCGCTTCATCACCTCACGCTTCACTGTACGCTCTATTGAAATGAATGGAAAATGCATTAAAAAGAAAAATAATTCAGACTCAAACTCAGATTACACTCTTCTGGATAGAGATCCAGATCCAATCAGAGTTGTTCTAGTATTACAGAATTAGCATTAGATACTAACACATTTAATATAATATAGTCTTGAGCATTTTACATGAAACTGCTGTCAGATATACATTTTGGAGAACAGAAATATCTTTACAATTTTTAATTCAGACCAATTTTGCCCTTTAACAGTCTTGATGCATTTCAGGCTCTCCTAGAACAGGTTCTTTCTAAACTTTCTAAAAGATTATTGCGAGGCACTGCTGGACTAATGTACGTGGAACTCAACAGTGTGGACTACTTCCATCAGTGAGATTTACATTTCTCTGATAGTTTTCATGCACATATACCATGTCATGGTTTCTTGTGTAACGCGTTAACAGTCAATATATTGTTAAAATAAATTGTATTAAGATGTGGATTTTCTCACAGCAGTTTAATTTGAGTGCATTTGAATATATCGCATAATGAACTAAATGAAGAATGGGTCACATAGGGTTAAGCAATGATGAAGTGTTGGTTAGGGTTTATTGGGTCTGGTTTGAAGCTTTTTCTGTGATAATTGTAATGTGACGTGTGTGTTGTTAAAGTCATACAGATTCGTGAAAACACTTTTTTAAATTAAAGTTTGACACTGTGGACATGTTTCATAATTTCTAGGAACAGAAAAAAAATAATTCAAAGAAACACTCCTTAAATATACAAGCAGAAGATGATTTATTGTTAATTGTTCTCATTTTAAGAAAATGATAGTATTGTTTCTGATTCTTATGAACATCAGATATACTGTAATAATTCCTGTGTACACTGTGCTGTCAAAACAATAACCTTATAAAAAATATGATGTCTCGCACACCTGAATAATTCATAGATGCGTCAGATAAAAGTCCAATATGAACTCGAAAAATGTATTAATCTCACACACTATTCACACTTCCATCATATCAAAATATTATTAGCATAGCCCTTCCTCAGGCTTAGAGCACAAAGACGACTGATTGACCAGAACAGTGCTAAGATGTTCATCAATGTCATCAATCCTGAAGTCGGCCATTTTGGAGGCACTGAACGTAAACAATGCCACTGAACTGAACGGACTCGCAAATTTGGCTGATTATTGCAGCTGAAAAATGGTCGAGTTTTGGTCTACACTAATCGGTCCCATCGGGAAAAAACATTTCGAGTTCTATAGACTGTCAAAAGTTAAAGAGAAGAGTGCAAAAAAACTGCTGAAAGAAGGCGTTTGTGGTTTTGAGAGGCACAGAGTCAGCCACATGTGTAAATGAAGCGTTGACTGTGGCTAACATGTTGACGTAATTCACTATGGCTACATTCACACTATCAGTCAGAAAAAACAAACAAACAAAACAAAACAAACAAACATAAATAATCCCTCTTTCCTACCCTACCCAGCTTTATCCTTCCATCTAAATACTACTTTAATATAGTTAGAGGGAAACATTAATTTCCACTGCCAGGAGAGAGATAGTGAATGGGAGGTGACCACACTTTTTCAAAGTGTTGCAGTTTATCCATAAGAATATATTTGATTCTCTCTAAGTAGAGAGTGTTAGAAAGATCACTGAAAGCCATACCTTTGTGGTGGGTGTTTCTTTATTTTTCCAATGCATGAGAAGTAGCTTCTTTGCGGCGATGAGACTATAGGATAGTATTTTGATTACCAAAAACCAGGACACTCGGCCCGGCAAACAGATACTCAAACGATACTCTAAGTTTACTCAAAGATGCCTTATTAATTTCAATACATTTAAAGTAGGCTATGCCTCCTCTGTATGGATAGAAACGTTGTTATATTACAAGAGACAAATTCAGATTCAGGCAGGTTTCAAAAATAATTAATGAAATAATGTCTCTTCTGTTTTAGAAAAATAGATATATAAATAATAAATAACTAAAAGAAATGCCTCCAAATTGAACAAAAATAGCTCTCGCAAACTTACAAAAACGAACTAACAAAATGTATTTATATCTTTAGTTTTCTTCCTCTTTATCCTGTTTTCTTTGCCCATCTATATTTTGCTGCAGAGCCGATCTTTCCCAGCAGTTTTTTGAAAACCAGGACATTTTCATCTCTTTATAAAAATCAGCCAGGACAGGACGTGAAAACTGGACATGTCCTTGGAAAACAGGACTGTTGGTCACCCTAGTTTAACTAGAGCAAACTACAAACACACATTTCAGGTGTCTGCCGTGTATTGAGTCAATCCTAAAGCCCACCTCGCCGCCTGTTGAGCATTTACACGTTGCGACACGATAGACACAACATACTTTTCTTTTCTTTTTCTTTTATTCATTTATAAAGCACATTTAAAAACAACCCATGGTTGACCAAAGTGCTGAACAGGACCGAGTAATCAGAGCACAGGTAATACAACATAATAAAAACAGCATGAGCAATAAATACTGTTACATTCAACAGGGCTAACAGTTATACAAAGACTAAAAGCATTGGGTGAGGGACTAGGATCCTGTTGCTCGCTCAGTCTTTCTCAGTATATTGCTGAATATTTCCCTCCGCCACTAGAGTCACGTATGCTCTTACCCCAGTTTCTCCAGTTTACAGTGAGGATTCTTCAGTACAGTAGAGAGCAGCTTCACTCCTTAGTCTCCTAGATAATTCTCAGACAGATGCAGATCTCTCAGGTGTGCGGGGTTTAATCTCAGAGCTGCCGCCAGCGCAAAACAACTTTCATCTGTCACACCACAATCCCACAACCTGTAGAGAACAATGACACACATTAAGACCATATCCAGAGATAAACATGACACTTGTCCGGGAAGTAAACGCACTCTGTCAGTTCAAAGCTAGATTAAAGACACATCTCTTTGGCCTAGCATACACATAACACATTATAGACTTCTATAATTCAATGTTAGGCTGCATAGATTAGGTCAGCCGGAACCGGGAACACTTCCCATAAAACCTGATGTACTCGTTACACCACAAGAAGAATGACATCTACGCTAATATTAGTCTCTCTGTTTATCCCGAGGTTTACCGCAGCCTGCCGGATCCAGGCTGTATCCAGATCTGACTAGGACCTTCGCCTGGAAGCGACGACTAGTGTCACTACCCACTCAACAGGTAAAGCATTGTGGGGGAATTCGGTTTGCGTACCAACCCAGAAGTGATCAAATAAAATTCTGTATCAAAATGTATAGGCAAGACAAGTCGTTTGTTTAGGCATGGCTTGAAGGGAATTACAAACTTGCACACATATACTCAAACACACATAACTAAAGAATCAGTTATTAAAGCGCATGTGAATGCCATCAGCGTTTATCACAGGTTCAGTTTAAAGTCTGTTTAGGGAGAACGCTGTCATCTTAGAGGACCCTAATGGGCTCTATGCACGGCGTTATTTCCGGTGAAGGATTAAGGATGCTCGATAACTTCCGCCGATCATAGAGTCCAATGCAATACCGAGAATTTATATTGAATTTTATACTCCATGGTTATACTAATGAAACGTTAGTCACAAAAACAGATAAAACAGACACCCCTCGTTGTGTTTATGCTTCTTTTCAAAATTATATTAAATAAACATAACTATATATAAAATTACATTTAAACGTATGTACGTTTCATTTCAAAGACGGGAGGACAGTAAATATTGAAGACTCTGCCATAATCCCGTTTTCTCCGGTTTTCCTCCGCTTTAATCTACACAACCGGAAATGGACGAGCATCCTTACGTCAAATGCGGAACTTATGCGTGCATATAGCCCATTTAATAACCAATCAATCAAAACTAACTTTAACTGGAAAATAACATTATTCAAGAACCGCTATAAAGCCAAACCAATCTCTGTTACCTTAAATTATGTTTATCTCTGTAAAGCTGCTTTGAAACAATCCACATTGTTAAAAGCGCTATATAAATGAAGATGACTTGACTTGATACTTAAAAAAATAAATAACAATGCTGTCAATATTAAATTATACAAATGTTTGTTTGTTCAAGTTATTAAATTACTTGAACGGGGACAGACGTTGGCTCATTAGTGGCCAGATGCACACACACATGACCAGCATCGGCCAAAAGTGAGCCTACGTTCTGACGTATTAATGTTGAACCACTGTAGTTACATGGACCATTTTAACTGTGTCTTTACTACCTTCCTGGGCCTTGACAGTTCAGTCAGTGGAGGGACAGAGAGCTCTCGGATTTCATCAAAAATATCTTCATTTGTGTTCCGAAGATGAACGAAGGTCTTACGGGTTTGGAACGACATGAGGGAGAGTAATTACTGACAGAGTTTTCATCAACTAACCGTTTGAGACTAAAATGACACTTTGAAAAGCCTGAACCAGCAGCTTAAAAATTCCACTGAGAATTTTTTTTTTTTTTTTTTTTTTTAAAGCTTACGTGCAATTGATGTCATTGCTAGTATTAGACTGACTGACTTTGATAAATGATACGTCTAATTCAAAAGTGTCATACTATAAGGACATCTTTTATAGAAATGATCTACCTGAGATCAGGCCATTTGTCTCCACTCTTAAAGTTAATTGGCTGACCCATAGAGCTGTCAGTCTTCACAGACACACAGCTGGACTCTGGGTTTGAGCTCTTCTGCTGGACTGAACTGGAACAGAGAACAAATTCAGTTTAATCCTTTAGACCAGTGGTTCTTAAACTTTTTAAGTACTACCACCTCAGAATATATTTGGCTCTCTAAGTACCACCAACGACCAATATAAAAAAATACAGTAGCGTACTAGGCCAAACTATTCAGCTCCAGTTATGCACAGCTCAAAAATGAGGCCGTTTAACTTCTAATAAGAATATTTATTATTGTCAGCCACTTTAAACATTGTAAAAAACACAGTTTGAACATCAACACTACACTGTTCTTCTTACATACAGGTAAATACAAAACTTAAATGATGATTAAATTCAAATGTATTGCACCTAAAAGTGAAATAAAAACTGTAGCCTACTGTACTTAAAATATTAAAAGGTTAGTTCACCCAAAAATGAAAATTACGTCATTAATTACTCACCCCCATGCTGTACCAACCCCGTAAGACCTTCGCTGATCTTTGGAATACAAATGAAGATATTTTTGATTAAATTTGAGATAGAAATTTGCAATGGAGTAGTCGAATAAAGTCGTTATTTTTGTTTGTTTTCCGCACAAAAAGTATTCTCGTCGCTTGATAAACTTATAGTTGAGCCACTGTAGGCACATGGAATATTTAAACATTTTCTTCAATGACTTTCTGGGCCGTCAAGTTTCGATCCCTTATGCCTGGTTCGGATTACACGATTTTAGCCCGATTTTGGCACGATCCGTTTGACGTAGGGTGTCGTGGAGATTGGTAAACGACAACGGGCATCGGGACGCAAGATTCGATCGTATCATCTCGTATAGTGTGTCATAGTGGGCGACAACCTACGTCGCGTCTGCGATGCTTCACGACATCATGGCAAAAAGACTAGCATGTTTAATCTTTTTAACAGTCGTCCACAACAGTTCCGTCACATGTGTGAGGTTGACCAATAGGAGCAAAGAAACTTTTCTGTACACAACTTTCAAAAATGGTGAAACGAAAAAGAGAGATGATGGTGCTAACGTTAAAACTAGAAGTAAAAATATATAAGAAAACAATA